GATCATTAGAGATCGCAATTCAGAATGACAGTTTGGTAAAATACTGTGCGCTAATTGAAGCATACATTTCTTTCCGCTGGCAATCACCTAATAAAATATCTCAACGACATTTAGAAAGCTTTATTTTATGTAATTTATACCTGTTCCACACTTACGATGGATATCTATAGACTATCCATGAAGAGATGAGCTTCTAGGTAATGAATCCCGTTCATAATTTGGCCTCTCGCGGACCAGTGGAGAGCGAGCAACACATGTCAGGACAAAACACAACGAAGAATTCTGCATGACCAGCATTCTGATGACGAAGCATGGTTAATACGTTGAAATGTTCAGTTAGTAGACAATGTAAAGGAGGATTAATGATCGCTTAATACAGCTACTTCGTGTGGTTCTGCTTAGCTAGGATACTCGGGTTAAGAAACATCAAAGGTGGATGATTGGTAAACAGACATATCATAAAAGGAGTCTGTTGAAGCTTGGTGCCTTCCATGTATGGATTAAAATGGACGAATATGCATATACAAGTACTTTCATCAGTAAGTATCAGTATTGAGTTAGAGAAAATATATAAATATTTGTTGAATGACAAGTATGACTTTGAATTCTGCTGAAAATGCAACGCTTATTCGACATAGGCGCAACATTGAAGGGGGGTTGGTGACAACGTAATCATGTCAGGGTCATTAAGAGCATCGCTTTTAATGTTTTGTGTGTATGTTTGCCTATAGATATTAGCAAATTTAGTTGTTAATCGAACGTGCCCAGACCAATTCATGGATGTGGTCTCGCTTGTGATTCACTGCAGAAACTCGAATACCGTCAAGCAGATACTGCTTAATATTTCCACTAGACGTTCAAAGGCGATGGTAGATGTAAATTCGAAATCTTGAGTTGAGTAGATATCAGAGAAGGAGTTTATCAAATATAATGTATCGTTTGAGTGTCATTTCAATTCAGGGTCGAGAGTAGCAAAGAAAATCTGAGTCCCTTCCGATTCGATAGATCAGGGATCAGAATCAGAATCAGGAAACGGTTCTTGAATTCTTAGCAGTAGGCTTGACATGGTAGAAAACTGTTGAACTTTTTTGTTGCAACTAAGCATACGTGCTTGCAGATTTGGTAAGCCTTTAGCTTCGTAACATCGATCATACGAATTGCATAACAACCATTTAAGACTCACGCTGATTCAGTGCTGAAGCACGAATAATGAATGTAAAACTCCTAGAAAATTTCCTGCAAAACTTTCATAAATATGCTAAACGAATAACTTGGAAAGATGTTTCTTTTTGTCATTAAAGTAAAAATAATCCAATGCATTAAAATAATTCGAGTTTTATTGAGGTAGGTTATTTACAACGCTTCTTCAATCAGGCTATTCGATTTTGGCCGATTTCATCATGACTTTTTCAGAAAGAATGACTTATTTTCCAGTATATCCATTAACTATTATTTTTTATATCAATGCAGAATTTGGTAAGTCACAAACGGGAAGAGCACTGTACTCTGAAGACGGACCGAGTTTGGTCCAAAACGTCAGATGTCTCTAATTAAAGAACATTTTATGCGTGCTCTTCCCGTTTGTGACTTACCAAAGGATTATATCATCTCCCACATAAAGAAATCATGTATGATTTTTAATGCAGAATTTATTCGAATAAATTCCAGCATAAATCTAATTCAGAACTCAACCGCTTCTTGGCGCCATGGTAAATGCTAAATAATAACATTTCGAAATTGGTGTGTCATCAAAAAGTGTATTGTTTCCACCCACTGTAATGACTTATGAGTTTAATAACTGATCACCCAATGTTAAAAAGGGCCTGAACAACATTGTCACCAATCAGTTCGTTCTGGTAACTCAACCAGTGGCAAAAAGCGTCAAACTGGATCTAAATCGTTAACTTTTTCCTCTGGAAATTGGAATGCCAACACTAGTGCTGTTGCATCACTGATCAGCATTAGGAGGACAGCTCTGAAGACGTTGAGAAAGGAATTGAGAGTTCTTTTCAAGAATTTTGCGAGGTAACACGAGTTTCATTCGTTTTTGTGAATGTTCTGTCTTTTTGCGTTTCCATATTTTATACTTGACTTCAGTGCAATTAGAATTTTATTGCAGCCTTAAAGAAGCGCTTAAAGTGAAAAGACACTTTGTTGAAACTGAATAACCATTCCTATGACAAAAACTTTTTCTATATAGTAGACCTATGTGACCACATGAAAATAGTCAAGTGAAAGGTCAGTGGAGTATGGTAGGGGTAGAATTAAGGATATGATTTACTTACTTTTCGATGCGCACTGAACAACGGCCATTTGACACAAATATCCAAAGCAACAAGCAACACGTTCTTTAACTCATTCCATTCTTCGGGGAGAGGGCAATTAAGTATAATTAATTAAATTATCACGTAAAATATATAAATTACATAAACATTAAACATATCACGTTGTAGTTAAAGCTTCTATGAGATTTGAACAGAGTCTGAAATGACTCTTTATCAAAATCATGAAAGCGTCTCCTAATATTCCTTGCTGATCTGATGATATGAGCTTTGCGCTTGAAATTTTCCCTTCTACTGCTGATCAACTCTCAGCCTTCTGAAATTAACGTCCTGAAGAAAATTAGTTTCTCATTCTAGTACATAAATTTTCATTCTATTCATTGTCATTTGTTTCCAACGTATCGGTTCTAATACGTGTTGAAAAGTACCTTTCTTTAAAAGTCTCATTTTTATCGCGACAGCACGTAAAGTACAGGGGCTATCATTTGAAAAACAGAAATCGAAACCTCTCGGTAGAAGTAGGTCAGTTGGAAGTCGTCATATAGTCCCCACATTTTTACGAAAAAAGTGTTCGTTAAGTCCGTCGACCTTGGCCCACTCGATGAAAGTTGCCCCTTCACAAAGTGCTGCCGTTTCTGTGAGGCATGAGGCACGCGAAATGGTTGAAAGATGAATGAGCGTCTGCCTGCAGTAGCGATTGACATACGGCCTATTGAGCTGTGATGAGTTTGGCAGTTGCGACTCCTTATCAAGCTGCAATGTGTCAGTCGATGGAGATGGCGTGGTGCGAGAAAGCACAATAAAGACGATTGTTTGTTCTTAGCAATGAGTGGCGGCGGTGGTGACTCGGAGGACGTCCTAAAGGTAAGATTCGCCATGTCGTCGCCGATACATACCTCTGGCTCGCCATGCAGCAGTCACCAAGCAGTGAACAACTCCGATAGCGAGCTGCTCGACCCGCTGGCCAACGAGGCTGAACGAAAGTCCATGGAGCACTACGACATCTACTACCATAACGAACGGTCGAAGCATTCACGTGGCAAACTGACGTTCGCCATACGATACGACTACATCCACTGTATGTTGATGCTGAACGTTATCAGAGCTGAAGGCATCGAAGTCAAGGTAGGAACTTGTTTTACTCTGTATTGTGCAACGTGTAAATTGTACTTGGGGCATAGCTCCTCCAAGACTAGACATTGCGACGTATTGCATGGCCTCTTTCTCGTGGTCGTTTGGGAAGAAGGAGGCATTCAAAC